TGCTGCCTGCAGGTCCTGCTCTTTCAGGCTCTTCCATAGCACTATTCCTGCCCCACTGGCTCATCCCTGTGCAGCCCCTTCCTTGTTATCCCTCGCTGGTCTCTCCCCTGAGTCATCCCAGCTGCCTCTTTTATCCCCCTCCAGGTGACCCAAGGGGCCCATCGGGACACAGGGGGGTGAGTCTCTGGGGCCTGATTGGTACAGAAAGGGAATCCCAAGTCCTCCAATCATCTTTTACCCCTTCAAAACCCCTGGGCCAAATCATTACCAGATTGGTGCGGAAAGGGAATCCCAAGTCCTCCAATCATCTTTTGCTCTTTCAAAACCCCTGGGCTAGGTCACTGCCAGCCAGCCTGTCACAAATATATTTATGCTATATACAGTATGTAAGCTAACTGTGAAATGGTTCCACCAGTTATAAATGCTGCACGAGCACAGATAGGAACCTACTCAAATCATGATTTTGCAGATTTTGCAGAAATTGTGAAACCGGCAATCTCTGTGAAATCCATGGGGAATAATAAACGAAAAATAAACTTGTTAAAAATAAAATGCTGGCTCCCCAGTGGGAGTCAGCAGTCCTCCAGCTGCCCAGCCCAGCACAAAGGGGGCTGCCAGCATTAAGGCGAGCAGGCAAGACAGCTGCCGCCCCCCTCCTTCACCCCTTGCTGTTGATTAGCAGAGGCCTACCTGTTGTGTGGCCCCGCCCCTCTCCAGTCAGCAATGGGGGGGGGGGGGCTGCATAACAGACAGCCTTCTCAGCCAGTCAGTGGCAAGGGGCAGGGCCATCAGGGCCCCTTGGCCAATCAGAGGCATGGGGAGGCACCACAATATGCCAGTGAAAATAGAAGCCAATCCTGTGATCTGCCTGCAAAATCGGCTGGCTGCCTCCTCCAATTGAGTAGACGTCTACCAATACATGATAAATTTCACACCAGGGACCTAAATAGATACATTAGACTTTTATATTCTGTTTTATCTTGCCCTCATTGTAACATGAGCACTTTCCAGTATGGCTTTAAGCAGCATGGGTAAAATCTGTTTGAGCACTCACAGTGCTCAGGTCAGGTCCCAGAGGGCTGGGAAAGAGCCAGTCTGGTCCCTATTTTCAAGAAGAGGAGGATCTAGATAACTTTAGATTGGTTAGTCTCACCTCTATCCTTGGGAAAATCTTTGAAAAAATTATTGAGGATCACATCTCTGGGAGCCCAGTGGAAAAAATAATGCTGAAGGTCAAGCAGCACGGATTCATAGCAAATAGATCCTGCCTGACTAACCTTGTTTCTTTTTATGGCCAGGTCACAAAATGATTAGATGCAGGAGTCAAGGTAGATGTCATATACTTGGATTTTAAGAAGGTCTTCAATATGGTATCTCACCCTATTCTCATAAATAAACTGAGCAGCTGTGACGTAGATGATTACACAGGTGGGTGGCAAATTGACTTAGGGGTTGCACCCAGAGAGTGGTGGTGGATGGGTCAGTATCAACCTGGAAAGATGTGGGCAGTGGGTTTCCCCAAGGCTTGGTCCTTGACCAGTGCTGTTCAATGTCTTCATCAGTGACTTGGATGAGGGCATAGAAAGCACTCTGTCCAAATTTGCAGATGATACCAAATTATGTGGTAAAGTTAACATACTAGAGGGTTAACACACTAGAGGGTAGAGAACAAATCCAGGCAGATCTGAACAGGTTGGGAAAGTGAGCAGAACAAAATAGGATGCAGTTCAATAAGGACAAGTGCAAGGTGCTGCACCTAGGGAGAAGGAATCACTACCACACTTACAGGCTGGGAGATGATCTTTTCAGCAGCACAGCAGTGGAAAGGGATCTCGGAATCACTGTTGACGCCAAGATGAACATTAGTCATCGAAGTGACGAAGGGATCATTAAAGCTAAGCACACTTTATCATCCATTAGCGGGTGCATGATGAATGGGTCCCGGGAGGTGATACTTCCCTTCTCTGCGGCATTGGTCACGCCGCAGTTGGCTTGTTTTGGACACCATACTTCAAGAGGGATGTGGACAACCTCAAGAGGGTTCAGAGGAGGGCCACTCATACGGTTACGGGCCTGCAGGCAAAGCCTTACAAGGAGAGATTGAGGGACCTGGATTTCTAGTGGCTGCTGCTGCTAATGTCACCACCACTGCTGGACCCAGCCCTGCTGCCTGGGCATCGTGGCCCATCTGCCCCGCACCCACCACCAGGGAGCTGGACAGAGTGGGGTGGGGGCATGGAGACTGGCCTGGGATCCAGGAGAGCAGGGCACGCTCAGCCAGGCAGATGGGGTGGGGCCATGAATGGGTGGGAAGCAGCATCTGGGAGCCGAATGGCCAGAGCCAGGATCAGGATTGGGATTTTGGGGCGATGTCTGTGGGCGGCCAGGTCCTGGGTGTTACGTCCAATGATGATACCAGTCTTTTTACCAGGTATGGAGTGTAAGACAGTTGTTCTCAACTATAAGCAAGTTTATTGAACCCTAACACTTACAAATCTAAATCAAATTTAAAGCATTCTCAGCAGGTGACATTTCTAATACTGTAGCTACTAATAGTGACAACAGTGTTAATACTAATACACAAGGGCAAGGGCGGGAGAGCCACACTTGCGGCAGAAAACCAGAGGTGCACAATCTAGGGGCAGCAGGTTTGCTTGTCCTAAGTATAAAAAACCACTCACACATGCTGACTCTTATTATGCATAATAATAATCATCATCATCAATAGTAGCCCGTGCTGGTGTGTCTATTATTAATAATTGTTGACGATTGTTAATATTACTATTAATGATGATGATGACGGCGAGAATAGCAATAACAGTGACGTGATCCAGTGACTGCACTCCTCTGTACCTGGCAGCTGCAGCCCCGCCCCGCCCCGCCCCGCCCCGGCACATGCCAGCGTACAAAAGCGGGTGGGGCGGGGCGAGGCGGGGGGAAGATGGCGGCGGCCACGGGCGCGGGGCTGGCAGCGGCGGCGGTGGAGGAGTGGGGGGGCGCGCGGCTGCTGT